AAAAAGATCAGATTTTTTTTTATGGCTATCATCTACGTGGGTGAAGCCAACTGCATGTTAGTTGAAAAATGAATTGCTGCACAAACTTGAAGAAAAAACAAGAGAGACAGGAAAGAGCGCAGTCAAGTTTGTGCAGCAATTCAATTTTTCAAGTATGAACCAACTAGTCTGCAAAAAAGTATTGCATGTTAGTCGCGTCTCTCAGTACTCTAAACAGTTTCTCCGTCCATCCAACTGCGATGAGCGAATTTCCACACTATGAGCAGTAACCCTTCGGTGACCCCCTTCTTTAAAATTTCAAAAGCTGTAACTTTAGAACATAGCAATGTAGAAATTTCTGTCGAAAGAATGCAGACAAGCAGCTCTGCTATGCAGAAAGATGCCGCCGGCGGAACTTTCTTGCCAACCAGCACCTGTTTCGAGAGAGGGTGTAGGGGGCGGGGTGCCCGCAGTGACGTCACACTGTTTACAAAAAGGGAGAGGTCTATTCCTTCGGGCTACCCTGAACTGAATGGACATGCAGTCTGTCAGTTTACAGTGATCTGCACGGTGGCTTTCTTGTAAGGTTTGTTTTTCAACCAAAAACTCTCGTTCACAGACTGCTTTTCTTTCTCATTTTGAGCCCGCGAGTACAACAAAATGTCACCTCTCCAAATTCTAGCGAAGGCACGCGAGTACAACAAGATCTCAAAAAGGGGAATGGCAAAAATGAAATGAGCGAGAAAAGCAGTGTGTGAATGAGAGTTTTGAAAAACTAACCTTACAGAAAAGCTGCCTTGCAGATTATTGCAAACTGTCCATTGTTTTCTCTTGCAGAGAATTTTAGGAAGATCAGGGCTTAAAACGCGAGCACAGAGACGCTCTGATACAGCTCTCAGAAGCTTTCATCAAGCTTCCATGATGCTACCATCAACATATAGTATTACGCTACCTTTAGTGTGTAAATAGTGTATATAAACGTTCCTCTTATCAGCCCAGGCTACTCTGCTCGACTTCTACCAGAGACTTGGCTAGCTCCTTCGAATACATCACGAGCAAGCGAAAGGGCACGGAGTTGTAAAGATGAAAATGTGCAACATCACATCGCTTTTATTACGTGACATATTCGTTCTCCGCTGCATTCCCCCGCTCGTGTCCGCAGATAACGTTCCAGTTTTTATAGCGAAGACACACCGTTGATTGCGGTCACGTCATTGAATATCAATTAAACAGCGGTTGCATTATTTATTTGCAAATTACTTCACCATAAAGTATGGTGAAGTAATTTATTACTTGGTCACCTGAAGAGCTTTCTAACTTTACTTACTGTTTATCAAGACTTGAATATAATGTTAAGATTTATTTTGTTGATTCTGAGCATTACCTTTGCAACAGAAGTACATCACCACTGCCCGCAACAATTATTATTCATCTTTCCCAGTGCCTGTAGGTCCGTTGAAGTTACGTGATGAAAATATGTTTGCTGGACTACGTCATATATGACATGCCGCTTAAGTGTCTGTCTCCGCATTATTGACGAATCTAGCCGTCTCTTGTAAACTTTCTGCTGGCAAGTTTTTAAAATTTTATTTTGTTATTTTTAAAACTGGTGGCCTCAGACAAGCTTAATACGCCTCTGCTCACCACTGGATAGCGTTGTGACGCGCGGCGCCTGGGCTGACGGGGGAGATAGGCGTTCTTTGTTCATCAAACAAGTCACCAAAGGGCTGCCAGCCTGCTGTCCGCCGTGTTTCGTCCATCTTAGCCGGAAAGTGAGGTGGCATTCCGACACCATAAGACGTTCGACGAGACGACCACAATGGTTTCTTGGCGTCACAGGTCCAATGTGATGACCACGCCCCAATCAAAGACGTTGACTTGAGCGAGTGTGAGCGGCACCGTCAGAAATGGTGTGTGTGTCCCGTGATTCAACAGCACATTCTGGACCCATTACCTGATTTAGTCAAAACGCACACTTTATAATGAGCCACCCAGCTCATTCTCAAGAGATCTCTCACTCTATCTGTACAGAACGTAATAAATCCTCTGTTAAGTTTGCCATCCTACTCCTGAGTGCACATGCGTTTTCTTTTCTGTCTCTCTACACCCCCCTTCTTGCCCCTATTTCTCCACCCCCAGAGCTGGGCAGCAAACCGGATGCCAAGATCTGGTTGATCCCCAGCCTTCCTTTCTCTCTCTTGCCATCTTACTGCCTTGGCATCTTCATCCCGGATATCTTATGCCTGAAAAGGCCGGTACCAACGAAGGTTAAAGAATAAAACAGATGGTGAATATTTTCTGCAGCATGTTGAGACGCTGCATATGAGTGGTCATCCTCGAAAATCATCAACTTTAACACCACGGACAGGTGATGATATACCCTGAGTAGGTTCGAGCATGTATTATGCCTCGACGCTTTTATTCTCCATTAAACTTCTCCCTTTCGATTTCATCCTTCGGGGCTTTGTGTAGTCCTTCACCTAACGCACTGCATTCGTGCTGCACTGCTACTACTTCATTTCTTCTGTATATACGTCCTGTTTCGGGCACGGTCACAGGCTGCCATCTTGGACTGATAATGACGCCGTTTTGCCTCCATATAAATATTCGAATAGTGCTACGGTGAACTCGCATGCATCAACACGCTGGGCCAGTACATTCAACATCGTATGACCATAATCATTGCTAATTACGACAATTTAAACCCAGCAAAAATTGCTTTTAAGCCTAAGATGGCAGCGTCTATGCTTTACTGTAACTGTTACATTTATTTTTTGTCAATTTGTCCAATATATCACTTCATGCAGCGGCCGCAGAACTTGTGCAGCTTTTCATAGTTGTACTCTCGGTCTCTGAAGCTGGATGAAGATAACTAAGAAGCCTGGTTTATACTGGCTACATAAAATGTGAAACAAAGCTCTAAATTAAGATGAAAAAGAAAAAGACAAATCTGTGAAAAGTCAGTATTGGCGCATAAATGGCGCGCTGATTGCGCCGATGAGAATCATCGGCGGCGGCGGCGGCGGCGCGCCGATCAGTTCGCGTCGGCGGCGGCGGCGCGGTGAAAACTCTCGGCGGCGGCGCGCCGACCAGTCGGCGCACACCTCTAGGGCGCAACATCGTCAAGCGCTCAATGTCTGTATATTAACTCTATTGTCTTTTAACTGTACGCCTCCGGAAATTCAGAAAACCTGGGCATCTGTGCCTGCTAACCTTCTTAAAACTATCTTTGCCTCATGCCAGCGCGGCTCTGCTAAAGTAAGGCAGAAGCTCCAACTAAATAATACTACTGCAGCGGCTGTGCTTCAGCGTTTCGGATGATGTTGAACATAATTGGCTAAATCTAGCACACACACAAGTGCACCACGAACTTGTGACACAACACTGTTACAAATGCAGCGACGGCCGGCGGAGCCGGCGCGCAGGAATCCTACGTAACTTTTGTTTCTGTTAATTCTCTCAGGTACTTTACTCAGGTGTTGTGTGATCATGCGGTCCAGCTGCCGCCGCAGCAACTGTAGAGCAGAAGTTCTGCGCTAACAACGGTTCTTGTTTTGTGCAGTACGTCCGGTGCAGCAGCATGACGACGCTCATTCCAAAGGTATCGAAGTTGACGTCTCGCATTATTCGAGTTCTAGGATGCAACCCAGGCCCGATGACTCTGCAGGGAACTAATACATATATCATTGGGACTGGAAAGCAGCGCATATTGCTCGATACCGGAGAGCCAAATGTCCCTGAGTATATCGAGACCCTCAAAAGCGTTTTGCGAGAACAAGGCATATCGCTACAGCAAATAATCGTTAGCCACTGGCATTTGGATCACGTGGTGGTGTGGACGAAATACGGCGACAAGTTCAGCCAGGGTGTACCGTGAAGAAGTACGCGTTTCGTGATGACAAGGCGGAGCATTCTTTTCAGTACCTAAAGGACGGAGAGTGGATCCGTACTGAAGGAGCGTCTCTCAAGGTAATCGCCACCCCAGGCCACACGCAGGACCACATAGTACTGTATTTGGACGAAGAAGACGCCTTGTTCAGTGGAGACTGTATATTGGGTGAAGGGTCGGCGGTGTTCGAAGACTTCCATTCCTATATGGCTCTTTAAACGCCATTCTAGCGATCAAACCGTCTATTATTTATCCGGACACGGACCTGTGATTACAGACCCGGAGAAGAAGATAAAGGAATACATTGAGCACCGGCTTCAAAGAGAAAGACAGATTCTCGACTGTCTGCCAGAAGCGGACGCTGGATACAAATCAATCTCGGCATAGTCGAAGAGATTTACAAGGAGACACCTGCTCATCTTCACGCAGCAGCTGCACGGAACGTGGAACATCACCTGAACAAGTTAATTAAGACGGGAAAGTTGTGAAAAGGGCCACCGACAACAGTTATGGACGGTGTGACTAAAGTATGTAATGGGAAGAAGCAGTGTAATATACTATGATGTACAAGCGAGGTTTGGTTACGTTATGAAAAAGGGCTTCTGTTTTTTTGCATAAAAATAAAATTTTACGTGTTTTTGTTACCACTGCGAATGTCTGCATGCGTTATGTCAATGTTGACATTTTTTGAGGGTTGCTGTTTGTTTTTCTCATTGCGATGATAGGCTGAAATATGTGCTTGTTAATAAGAACTACGCGATCGTCGACCAATTAGAAAAAAAAATTGTGGCGTCTAGAAATTTTGCCAGTAGACAGCGCACATACTTTTTCGAAGTGCCTTGGAGCAAAGAGTATGTAGCGTACATAGAAACAAAATCCTTATTTCACTGGCTGCAATCAGTCTGACGGGCCAAAAAGAAAAAAAAAAAAAACATTAGAAAAGAACCGGCGGCGAAGTGTCAAGGGCTCTGTAAGAGAAGACACCTTGACATGCTGCAGCTTTTGTATTTATGGGACACGGTGCTCTATTTTTGGCGCCTCTCTCTGAAGCAGACTCACGTTGGCAGCGAAATCGAAACCGCCTCGTAGGTCTCTCGCTTTTCGGACCCACCCATCCACACACACACACACACACACACACAAGACGGGGGAATAGGTGGGGTGCAGCGTTTCCGGTTCCGCCAAAGCGGCCAGGGAGGTGTTGCATAGACGGTGCGCTGTGTTGAGAGAATGTCGTACAAAAACAGTAAGTTTTACTTACACGTTCATTCGGTCTTCTTTAACAAATAAGTTGCTTGCTTCGCGTGATTCTGCTCGCTCCAATCTTACGTCCGTTCGTAGCGAAGACTACCCGCGACACTCCGAAAGGCCTTGCCGACCCGGCACCCCGGTGAACCGGCCCGAGGTGCCAAAAACGGCACCAAGACATTTGAGAGCCTAGCTTCCGTTCAGGCCGTTTAGCAAAGACTTTTTATGTCTGACGACGTAGAGTTTGGTGCTTCCTTCGCTGCGCTCAGTCTTAGTCGTTGTGTGATGTCTCGCAAACGCCCTTTCGCGGCTGGCGCATGCACCTTGTCTATATTTACTTTCTTCGATTGACAGAGCCAAGTTATTGTCGGCAGAAGGCGGACAGCAAGCAGGAAGCTTGTCACGCTTACCTTGTTAGTTCTGGCCAAGTTTGAAAGATGATGTGTTACAACATTATCTGCGGATTGTGCGCTCAGTGATGAGTTTTCTGTGACCTTACTTGGTGAGCATCGAGCTATGAATCATCGTTGAACCGCGGCCGGCTTCCGCTTGCCCAGTTTGGAAGAGAAACTCTCGCCTTGTATCCGAGCTCATCTGGCGGTCACGTTAAATTCTTGCTAACATTTAGCTAGCGTTTCATGCGGCTTAATGAGTTAGCTATTATACTTGAGGGTGAGCGGTACGATAACAATAGGGCCAACTCGGCAACCGTTAGCGGAGAGTTTTTATTTTATTCTGGGGGCCAGAGCTCTCCTCTCTGTCCCTCTTGACACATAGCATGCAATGCCTCAGGACTTGTGCGACAGTGCAAAAAAGTGCCAGTATCATATCAAATCTGTTAAACGGGGCACAGTAACAATGTAAACTTATCATGGACCCATCCACGAAATACCCATTCCCTAAGCCAGTTCCACAGCTGCAGAAATAATTTCAAGAGCAGGAAAGCTAGTGTGTGCCACTGCAAGAAATCGGGTGGCATAATGGAATTGCGAAGTTTATTAAAGTCAGGCTGCTCACTGATTAGCAATCACGGGAAGAAGCCTTTGTTAACTGACTCAAGTATAAACACTTCTCATTCAAGGCATTTCAAAACTTCATTATGACAAATTAGTAGTCGCAGAATATTTTTAATTCATTCATCCAAAATACAAACAGTGCAATAAAATTCTGCCCTTGAAATGCATGTTGCAACTATATCAACCCTCAAAGGGTTAAGAAATGGTATTGCTCCACCATTGCTAGGAGTTTAGTGTATGTGAGTATCTCCACAATTCAGTTATTAATGTGGGCGTTAAGGGAAAAGTTCAGGTGTTGACATGCCACCTTTGAATTTATTTATTGATCGCTCTAGATTCACTACCAAATGCATCAAATTTTCAGGAAGCACATTTGCCACGACTGCCGCGCACTCAGCGTGGCATGCCTCTGGTCCTTGGTGGAGATCCAAAGGGAAAACTTTCTGTAACAAATGGAAACAGTGTGATCATAAGGGGATATGCTGTGGAGTATTAGTACTGTTCACATGACGTTATACCCGTGTCACAAGAGCTGTTTGAAAGGACATCAAGTCGATGCCATCAAAAACGGCGGTGCACCATAGACTGAAAGACTTATCATGCTGCTATGCGGCTGCTTTAACGGCCGTTGAGTGGTTTAGGTGTTCCTTGCAAAGTTGTGTGGCACTGCAAATCTTTATTTTGTTTTCATGTAATCATAAGTGAGACAATATAGACACTTAAAGTACACCCGTGTCTGCTCTTTTTATTAACATTTCAATAAATTGCTTAAATATAATTACGAATGCATGTTTTGTGCAGTTGTTGAGCGGTGAAACTTTAGCGATGTGGTCACGGCTTGTCAGCATTTGCACGTTGCGCTGTTTCTGCTTCCGGCTTTCATAAGCCATGAAAGTTCAACGGAGGTGTGGGGGTGCTTCTTAGACTAGATGGACTATTGACTCGAACTATTGACTCAAGGACTCTCAAAATCGCATGTGTGGCAGCTTGTTGAGTCAATGGACCATTGGTTCAGTGTCCTTCCAAATGCCCATGTGACGTGTATTGATGTCTGCCAGTATAAACTTACCAGCGAACAAACATGTGGTGCCACTTGCTCCACGCTCCACAGAATGTCAAACTTTTTGAATATAAATTGCTAGTCAGACTTAATTTTTTTAATATGCCTACATATCTGAGGCCCACATAAAAATTATTTTACTAATAGTCTTTTCAGTGATATGGTGTCAGGTATTTTTATTCAATGTTTTCATGTAATCCCATCATCCCTAATTTCTAAGTATCAGTAAAATTCACTCCTGCACTGCCATACAATCGCGAGTGTTGTTCTTTTTATCTTACTTTATTGTTTACCTAGTTATGTTGTGGATGTTTTTCCAAAAAGAGAATACCACAAAACACTGGATGTCAACTTCAATTTACAACCATGCTCAAGCTGCCTTTCCAGTTTCATTAGTTTTCCTATAAAGCAAGAGTTAGGAGTGCTCTTTCCTAAAAGGAGGTAAAAAAAAATTGTGTAGCTATATATTGCAGAAATAGTTCTTTAGAGCTTTTGTAGCACAGACAGGCAGAATTCACGGTGCATGTGCATTGTGTGTCTGTGTACTGTAGTGCTCCACTCATTTTCTACGAGTTGACTGTAGCACCTTGACACTACTATTTTCACTAGTAGCATTTAACTTGGCTTTCACCGCAATATATGAATACTGGTCCAAAGGCTGTTGGTGCAGTGGCCATTCATCCAAGTTTCAGGAGTTTACAAAATGGTGCTGAAAGTGTGTAAGGTGCATTTAATATTGCTTACCGTTTCAGAACCCGTCACTCTGTGACATTTACACGGAGCCATCTCAAATGACAACTGTCGCCAAGTACTCGCCGAGTGGGTTAACATTGCTTCTGCTGGATGTCTATAGCTCACATTGTAGCTCAAAGCACAACTTGTTTTCCCTGTTCACTTACATACATTACTTCCCTTTTCCCAGATCAGACTGGGAAAATCCGGATTTGGGACACAGTCCAAAGGAACACATCTGAAAAATGAGTTTCAACCTTTTGTTGGTATTGTCAAAGACTTGGCGTGGGTCGCCAGACAGCCAGAGAATCTGGCTGTAGGCGAAGGTCGTGAAAGGTGACCTTGGGCACTTTTTTTTTTTCATGCATGGTATGATTGACACATGCATTGGCTTTTTGCAGGTTTGGCCATGTGTTCATGCTGGACGCGGCACCTCAGTTGGGAGAGATTGGTGGCCACAGCAAACAGATAAATTCCTGCGACTTCCGGCCCACCCGCCCTTTCGTATTATCACTGCAGTGAGACAACACTGTTGGCATTTATGAGGGACCTCCTTTCAAGTTAAGCTGACGATCAGCGTAAG